AATAATTTACTAAACGGAGAGTTTTCGCTTAAAGATATTGGAAGCATACACTGCTTTCCAAGAACTGGGGCACAACGATAAACGCGGTGTAACTTGAATTTCAACCAGACATTTATTTTGGCATTGCGCAAGCACTGGGAAAACTGTTGCTCTGAGAGAGACAGTGTTATGGACAGTATTGGTTCAATGTGTAAAAGACACGCAGCAAGTTCCAACTAGTTGAGTACCAGTCCAACTCATGCGTCATTTAATTCGGTCAGCTAGTTTTTCTATTGAATGAAGAGACGCAGCTTCTCCCCAACCCACTTCTGTGCCAATTCAACCAAATCAAACTAGGTCTAGCAATAGCTCTACTGGAGATGGTAATACTTTGAGTCTTTGGTATGAAGCTTGGCAATTCAGCTTCTTCAGTTTTAATGATTTTCTAGAAGACTAATGTTCAATTTCCTATCAATGAATATATTTGCTTCCGAGCAGCAAAATATTAATGGTTCAATATATTACATAAGTTTTGAGATGCATTCTCCAGGTACAAATGGATTTACTTCTTAAAATTTTCTTCAAGTTTTGACTACTTCTCAATAGGAAGAATAATTATATACTCCAACAGCCTCTTACAAACTATTTTTTTTTTTTAAAAAGGACAGATGAAACTTGAATAACATAACTTTCCAACGTTGAATCCAAGAAAACCAACATTTCAATCCCTAAATTATTAAATTAAAATTCAACGTTTTCAGGAACAAAATTGGCTCCACCTTCCCGGCAAACACGGATCTCAGTTGAATCAGATTTCTATACAAATATCAATTTCCACGCAACAGCTGAAACATGAATACACATACGTACATATATGATAAGTGACAGATAGAGAAGATGAAAGAGAACATACTCATCTGTTCGGGAGTGGAGAACTGGCGACGGCCAGTGGGTTTACCCTTGAACTTTCCTCTTCCCATTCTCGTAGCCTCAATACTCAATTTTACGAAAGAAGCAAATGGTATGCGTATCGTTGGCTCTTTTCGTGAATCTTCTGTTTAAACCCTAGCTGAAGACTATTACAGGGTGTTTGACTCTTCTACTGTTATATTCACTCCGAGTTTCTCCAGTTCGACAACTCATATTACGATTTATCTTATCATGCATGCGTTTCAAGTTAAATCCACCGATGATTATCCAATTTTACACTTTAATGTTATTATAGCAACTCAATTTAATTTTATTTCATCGTGACCACCTAACTTTATACATAGTATCATCACGATCACTCAATTTGATTTTATTTCACTACGGACACTCAATTTCATATAACATTTCACCATAACTACCAAACTTCTTTTATATATATTTAAAACTCTACTAACTCTAACTCTATTCTTTTTCTGTTTTTGTTTAGTCGCGTGTAAAATAAAATAAAAATTTATTTTAATAATGTAAAATAAAAATAAAAAAGTTTTAAATTTTTTTGAAATAAAATAAAAAATTTTGTTAAAAAAAAAAAAAGTTACTTGTAACGTTAAAAAATAAGTTCTTATTTTATTTTATTTTTTTTATTTTTTAGGTAACTTTTTTTATTTGGTTGAAGAAATTTTGATCCAATTATATCTTATCACATCGTATGCATATAAAAAAAAAGTTTTAATCACACATTATTTTATAAAATAATTTTGCTTGTCGATCTATAATTATTATTATTTTTTTTTAACTTTTTAATCACTTATTCGAAAAATCATTTTTTCTCAAAATCTATAATTGAAAAATCTACATAAAAAATGTAGCTTGAACCATACACTTGTGAAGATTTGAACAATTTAAGTATAGCGTTCTATAATGCATTAGGTAAGAAATTCTAAAGCTTCGCACTTAAGAACAATGTTTAATGAATCATACTATAAGTACATAATTTTTTAATAGAAAAATCTTACAGACAACGCATGGCGCAACATCATTGAAAGATGGGAAAAAAGGAAAAAAAACAATCCACTTATATCTTGCCACATCGGTGTCGATACAAATTCTATTAAATCTTTCTTGTACTTATGTCTTTATTGATGTTTAATTGTGAGAAAGAAGTCTTCAACCTTTGTTGAGTTTTGTAGGATCGTTTTTCATATTAAGAGTTGCAGATTTGTGGATTTTCAATTTTCCTACAAGTACAGAAATAGTTTGATAGAATTCTTACCAGAAAGACACGTAGTTTTTTATTGGTTTTTAACATAACAAACAAAGAAAACGCACCATAAGTCCCTGGACCTATAGAATTATTGTCCACTCAACTTTTTTAGTGAAACATGCTTTAGAGGCGGAAGAAATGCTTCCGGTTCCATCCTTGAGACTACTAGGGATGGCAATTTATCTCGCCTCGTCTCGCCCCATCCCGTCCTGAACTGGTTGCAAGGGCGGGTGGGGCAAGGTGGGGCGCCCCGTCGTGGGAGGTGATCCCGCCCCATGAAGAAAAAAATTAAAAATAATTTTATTTCTAGATAATTCACCCATTAAAAACTTATTTTGAATTTATATTTTATTATCTAATAATAACATAATTCAAAACTTTCAAATTTAAAAAAAATAATAATAAAAAAATTAAACGGGGCAAAAAGTTGTCTCGCCCCGACCCACTCCCCGCCTAAGGTGGGGTGGGGTTTTGGCCAAATGCCCCGAATCCCTCCCGCTGCCATCACTAAAAACTACCCTACCACCTTCCTTCAAGTGAAGTCTTAACAATGTGATTGCTTTCGGATGGAAATTCAGCACTTAATCTTCCCATGAGCAACTGATTCGTTACTTTCGAAATTTTTTCCCATCAACAAGCTATACGGTGCGTATTCATAGAGATGCCACTTGAAGTTTTCCATTGAAATCTCTTCAACCCTCCATATTCGTTCATCACTTGCTTCCTGCCAGCCCCGTCCATTATGATCTGGCAAGGATCTTTGCTTTCTATTACCGTTCTTGTCAAAATACAACCTCTATGATTGTTTCACCTTTCAAAACTGCAAGATCAAAGAGCTCTGAGCAATTAAAATAGGCCAATCGGCAATGGTAATCGAAAACAAAAATACGTGAGCATTCATATACATACATAATAAAAGTCGGCATGAAACTACTTGTATAGTCATAGTGCATCCAATGGAATTTTGCTCAGAGTCAGGAATACCAACACCCTTGTTTGCTTCTCTAGTAGTTTCATTTTTCCCTCTACTGTTGGTTTTCTTTTTCATTTTTAATTATCTTTTTTTTTTTTTAACTAAAAGGTCAAGTAAAAAATCACTTTTTAACAAGACATTTTAAGTCGGGCACATGAAAACGCAGCCCAGCTGCTGTGCGTTAGCCTCTCTCTCCCTTCAAGCCATTAGATAGGCTCAACCATAGAATTTATTGGCTTGCATTAATCCTGTGTTAACAAACGATACAAAAATTAGGAGTGAACATTCTTTAGTAGAACCACTTGATCTGAGCCAAACCAACCAATTCGGTCCGATTGTAGATGTTATAAGAAGGGTTCTGGTTTAATTCTCGATCAGAGATGCAGTAAATAACCTCTCAACTAATCATAATTTAATATCAAAAGACAAGTAAAAAAAGCTGAAAAGTATATTTTTAAATAAATATCAAATTAAGTTATTCCAGATCTCAGCAATCAAGTTGGCATCTAGTTTCATTCAATATTCTGGACAAGAATGCAAGAGTTGATTTGCATTATTTTGCTTTAGAAGGGAAAAATTGAACACAACTGAATGGCCAAAGGGATTGCCTAGAGTTGAATGAACTAAAAACTGCAAAACTGTTCCATATATCATGCAGCCTTCGGATGCATCGATTCAGTCACCTTCCCATCTTCAGTATTTGCATGTCTAAGATTAAAAACACCAGCAAGTCCTCGTCCTCTGGCTAACCGCTCAAGCTCTTCAAGTTTCTGCTTAAGAAGCTCCACCTCTTTCGACAACTCTTCATCCCGTTGCCTCATTCCCTGGAGACCAAGATTTTCTCAGCCAACAGATTAACAAAAACAAATATGAGATCCCTTTTCTTAGATGCATGACTCTCAAATACAATTATGCATCAAGCAATTAGTTTATAGAGCTCATGAGTAGTACAACGGATGAATGCCTATGTATTTCCTAGTGGTTTTCATAACAAGTCAGAGTCACTGGTCTCCGATTTAAAATACTAAGCCACTAAGAGCATCTTCAAGAAACCTTCTAAATAAAAAATGCTCTTTATTTTAACTCAGCCAACAGATTAACAAAAACAAATATGAGATCCCTTTTCTTAGATGCATGACTCTCAAATACAATTATGCATCAAGCAATTAGTTTATAGAGCTCATGAGTAGTACAACGGATGAATGCCTATGTATTTCCTAGTGGTTTTCATAACAAGTCAGAGTCACTGGTCTCCGATTTAAAATACTAAGCCACTAAGAGCATCTTCAAGAAACCTTCTAAATAAAAAATGCTCTTTATTTTAGAGGGTCGATGCTTAAAAAATAAGCTTCAAGAGACTCCATTTTAACTTTTTAAAATAGAGAGTGAGTTTGGCTCTTAATGTACAATTATTGCATTTAATAAATCACACATTTCAATATTCTACTTTTTAAACTATTCAAACAACATTTAAATTGATTGATCAATTGATATATACACAAATTTATGTTAAATAAAATATAAAAAAATCAATAAATGTTTTTCAGAAAACCAAAATGAGAGTCAAAATAGAGAGTTTGTTGGAGTGCATAAAAATTTCTCTCTAATTTTGAAAATGCTCTCTATAATACATAAGATGTTCTTTATAAATAAAGAGTCTCTTAGAAATACTCTAAATATCACATATAAGTTTAAAAATCTAGCAACATTCAGTCCCCTTTAAAATAAAACTCTTTAATTCTCATACTTATTTTTTAACCACACATCACACAATAAAACATTTTGCACATAAACCTAAAATTTTTCCATACTTTTTAACGACATATTCTCCAAAAAATTACTATCCAAAATATCATTTTTTTCTCAATAATGACCATCAAACATGGGCTTAATGTCATAAACTCCACTTAACAGCATCAACCTAGATGATAAAAATGTTGTTTTACAACAGACCCCCAAGCTAGCTATAAACCCTGCTAGGGTTTTTTAAAGATTCCAGTGAAATCCACGTATCAAAGTCAATTGGGACCATCAACTCAATTTTGTGCAAATATGCTGTACCAAATTGATGATAATGAAAAGTCAGCAACAGGCCAGCCCTGGCCCAAGGAAAACTAGGCCACTGTCATAGGCCTAAAAAAAAAATAAAAAACCCCCAAATCCCGCCTAGTCCAAAACCCATCCAACCAATGAAAAAGGGAACCGAAGAGGCATTGACAGAGCAAAACCAACAATAGGCGAGGCAAAATCTCAATTAGAATCCTGCATTAACTAGGGCTCTTTTTCAAGTTTCTATCTTAGGTTAGAGTGAGTTTGTGTTCAAATGGGAACAACGAACAGTGGAAGCCTGTCAAGCTATTGCCATCAAAATTCAACTTTGAATGTTTTTAAAGGCTGAAAATTTCTATCGGGATTTCGCGAGAGATCTTGTTCCGAGTCAAGGAACAAATTCTCAGTATTCATCATATTCAACTCTAAAAGGCTGAAAAAAAATCATATAGTGAATATCCACAAAGTCCCTTAAGCACTCTCAATACCAAGAAAAGCATAAGTACTTATAAACTAATTGAGGAGATACTTTGCTTCTAATTATTATTACCCTCACCAGGACATGGTGTCGAAATCATGACACTAAAGATGTCAAGAAGGAGCCATAAAGAGGAAACATGTAGAAGTGTATGTTTTCGTTATGCAATCAGTTGAGAGTTTAAGGAACTCAAATTCAAGTGTCTTGAACATCTATTAGATGGAGCCATAGTAGAAGTGGAAAGAAATGGAGTAACTGATGCTGGAAATTTCTCAATTTTTAAGGAAAAGGAGATGATGTTCATAGGACAAAAAATCTATATTTTGAATTGCAAAAAATCTTCGTTCCAACAAAAATATGTTATTTTTATTTAAATATTTAAATGTTGTTACACTTGTAAAAAATTATGCTTGAGGGCCTCTTAATAATTAGTCGCATATGACCTTTAAATTCTTTGGGCCCTTGTTGGCAATGTTTAGAAACCAAAGCAGGAAGGTTGCCTATTGGATAATGATGGTGGATAACCAACAAACTTTAGAATCCGCAGAGAAAATCCTTTCGGACTCTACTTGTGCAGCGAAATTATCTGGTAATGGGCCCATTTGCAGATTGCATCCACATAAAAATTCTCTTTCAGCAAGTTATAACTGGAAAATTCGCAGAGAAGGTTCCCATAACAGACCAACAAAAGAATGAATGATGAGATGGCTCTCGTCTCAAAGGATATCACCTCTCTCCAGCAAACTGTGGTACAAAGGACTGTCACTGCTCAAAGTAATGACCATATAAACTTCCACAGCTTCATCACATAGAATTTTAAAGATAATGAAAGTATGTTTCATTTTAAATAAAACTGCAGAAAGGCAAACCACGAAAATACTGGAAGATCAAGTTACAAGAATGAAGTTGACACATATGCATAAAAACACTCAACTAGGGGTGAAAGGTAAAATAAAGGAACGATGTCCAACCTCCATTTCTTGCCTGCGAAGCTCTTCCTTTTTGGCTTCTGACCTAGAACTTCTTTGCACCTCAAAGATGAGAGCACCTACTCCAACCTAATCACATAAGTAGAATCATAAGTACAAATAGAGGACAAATGACACACTAGGTTCCATTGCAATTACAAGCTCTTAGTTTAGAACAAACAGAATAACCTATGATGCTCAAATTCAGGTATGGGTATTGGATACTAATACGTATCTAAGTGTCGGATCTTTTATTTTTTAAAATGTAAAATACAGAGACATGGCTAATGAGAGTCCAAATTTCCGGGTACGTGGGTACTTCTTTCAAACTTCAATTTTTTTGCTAATTCAAGAAGTAATTTTGAATAGATCAAAAATAATTGTTTACAAAGAAGAAAATAAGTATTGAATAAAGGGCTAAAACAAATAAAATGGAATTGGGGTTTAATTTTCAATTATGGGAAGTTAATTACTATATATTATATAAAATAGAAAATGAGGAACTTGATTGCTATTTGGACTAAGTGAAGCACTAAGTGGTACTTTATGGAACCCATTTTCATTTTATACAAACAAAACCCTAAACCACCAATACAGAGAGGGAAAGAAAGAGGAAAAAAGAGAAGGGAAAGAAAAAAGAAACGAGGGAAAATTTAGCGTCTTCGCCTTTCTCCATCCTCTCGGGGGTGGCGTTAGGTTTATAGAGTGTTTCTAGAAACAGGAAGAAAATGGAAAAGAAAAGAAAAGAAAAAGAAGAAAGAAGAAATAAAATGATAAAATGTCCGGTTGAAACTTGAAGAATCCGACACATATCTTATACCCAGACTCATGTTGTGTCGTGTCCGACACGAGTGCTCTAACCATTTCGAAGAGTCCAGGCATTAGAAAGAATAACACAACCCTCTCTAAATAACATACAACATGCATGCAAAAAATTGGGTTGGATTGCATTATGATCCAACAAGACATCTTAAAAACTTGCAGCTATCATCAAACAATAGTTCAATAAATCCACGTGAAAGTATACAAGGTTGATTGCCGATTATGAAGTCAACGGGTCTCTTCGCACTTAAAATGATTGAAGCAATGATGATTTTGGGATGTTTGTCAATCAGGAAAATAATTTGACATCACACTTTCACTCTACACTAAGACAGATTTAAATGTGTTACAAAGGGGAGAACAAGTTGTATTTTTATCATTTCATAACTAGATATTTTCTCATGGGAAGCTCAACTAGAAGCCCATAGTGAATTTATTTAACATGTTTAAAAAGTTATAGCATCATGTGAACTCACTTTCTAAAATTATTAAAATAAAAAATAAAAAATTGTTGGGAGGTTTGCTTTGAGAGGTTGGAAGTGTAACAGAATGGGCTAATAGAATTTGGAAGGTCCTTGGCTGTCTGAAAATACAGCAGTCAAGGAATCCTGCTTATTTGTATATTCCCCTCTTAGGTCAACAGACTCAACACAGAAAGAGTATCAGAATAGGATATAAAATGGTATGTTGTTTTGTTCCTGGACAAATATTGTTTAAATGACATATGCGGATCGGGGAATTAAATCAAGCATGAATTAATGAAAAAAGACATCAGCAGCCAGGTACTTCAATAGTTATAACACAAGTCCTCTTGCCACGGCAGAACTGCAACCCCAGGAATACAAAGTACAATAAAGCAACATCCTACAGAACATAAGATGCACACTTTGGCAGCATGACTTCACTGTTTCCAGAAGTCATTATTTCATGCAGCTGGATATCAGGCAATACCTTGACGTCCCTATAAAAGGAAACATACAGATGCACTCTAAGAAAATAAGCCTCTTGTCTTCCATCAAAGATAAAATATGGCACATCATTTTTCATTTTCATACAGGTGTTGAGCTACTATCAATTTATTTTGTTCCTTAGTAAATTCTCATGTGTAAAGACTACCTCAAACTGTCAGCCAAAAGGAGATAGTTAGTCAACATACAAAGAGAATTAAAGACAGAGACAATTTACCGAGAAAACGAATAGTTCCCCTAGCAGGTCCACAGCAGCCTGAACAGCTTTCTCTTCATTCAAAGGCCGAATTTCAACATCGGTAGCATGACCATATATGCGTCGTTGCATTGTTGTTGTCATCCTGTGATTTGCCTGATTTCAATAGACAGTGCACGGACAAAAAGTACTATGAATGTATTCAATTACTCACACTTGTGCCAAATACATAACAAGGCACAGAGATATGACAAATTTAGAAACTGGCGGAGAATATAATAAGAAACAATTATCTTGGATAAACAAATAGGCACTCAAGACTTGATTAAATTAGACAAAGAAACAGAAGTTACAAGATAATGGTAAATTTTAAGACAAAAGCAACATCCAAATATATATAATGACAAAGATGAAGATTGAGGAGGCTATAACAGTTGACACGCGCCAGAAATAGAAACGACAAAGAAAATCACTTCACAAAAACCAAGGACCCCCTCAAGGAAGCTAAAATCGTGAGATGAAGACTTGATATATAGCTATTGGCATTATTTGATCTGATGGTACAACAGGTAGCTCAACAACTAAAAATCTAAATGAAGTCCTTATCCGAGTACATATCAACCATCAGGTTTTGCACACATGGGGGAGATAATGAACTGTGTTATAGTAGGATTGAAGATCAACAAATGTCCTCGTGCCTATGCTTTATTGCCACTTTTCAATCCAAAAAAGAGCTCCAAACCCCTCTCCATCCTGCCTTAAAGCCAACAACCGGACGTAGGTTCCAAATCTCTATAGTTACAAGCGATTCAAATAGACCACGACAATCTGTGGTTCCATTCATATTTGCTAATGTCTCACAAATAAAGGAATTCACAGAATGTTTCAATGCCAATTTTTGCTTAATATGCTACAGGTACATATATACTCCGTGCTCCATATTTCACATTATTTAATGCCTGATAAAGCAGCTGACAGGGATAGGCATGAATTATGTTTATTATGTCCAAATTATCGTGGGACAAAGCTACAGGCACAGGCCTTGATTCGCAGAGTCCGTACAGGACACACACATGGGGGTGGGTGGGATGATATTTTTTGACAATATTTTAATCACATGTGGCCCACCCAATGTGAATGCTCTATAAAATTCTATAAATCATACCTTGGTACATATGGCATTTTCCTTATTGGAAAGGCTCCAATTAAACATAATGAACAGATTTTTTTGACAGGACTTTTACAGAATTACACTTGTCACGTTTCCATTTGCAATTGGGGGAAAAAAAACAAGAACACTGGCAGCACCTGTAAAAAAAACTGTCTGTACAATTGGTTTTATCCTTTATTCACCGATAATAAACTGTCCGTAAACAATGTTAGGAAACAGCGGACTACGATTGCAATAAACAAAAGGGGGACTTTTTGCCCAGAAAGGAACAAAATAAGGCAATAAAATCAAATAATTCCGGATCAAGAAAGCATGATAAGTTTCAGCAATAACCCTATGCTAATAAAGCAGTGTCCATTTCAATTTATGAATCCATAACAACCCTAAAACAACCGATCTACTTTCACATATGAATAATCAGACACCATCCACTAATTTATAAACTAATAATAACAATACCTGAGCCATGCTGATGATGAGATTTCGAAATCTTGGGTGTAGCCCAGCTTCTCTCTTGAGCCTAGCAGCTATGGGTTTGCTCAGAGTCTTCAATGCAAGCGTCCCAAGCTTCAATAAAGGAAGGACCATTACTGATCACTCTTTTTCCCTATCTTTCTTTTTCTTCTTGTTATATTGATCCTTTAATCTGTACCATTCAAAAAAAGAAGTGCGAATTGAATTTATGTGTTTGGGCGGGCGAGAAAGAAACGAGGGGTTTGACCAGTTGAGAGGCGTTGTATTTCTTGAAGAAGAAGGTTAGATTTGTGGAGGTACGGAAATAACTCGTATTTATAATTTCACAAACGGTCACTGATCTTACAGAAAAATTACAAAACTGTCACTGAAGTTTAAAACTTCCAATAACGGTCACTTAAGTATTGGAACGCTTTAAAAAATGGTCACTGAAATTTTAAAAAAATTTAGCTACTTTTGCAACAATTTTTCGACAACTTCCGACCACCGATACCACCAGATTTTGATACCGTTGGAAAGCCTATAATGTCCTCTTCAATTACAACAAAAAATCTCCCCTAAACTTCAAAGGATTCGGTCGGAATAAACCCACAAAATGACCATCCGAAAAGGCAAAAATCTGCCCAAATTTTCAGATTTTTGGTGGACCTTTGCGGCGATTTCAACTTTCGACCACCAAAATAGTCAAATTTGGATACCATTGGAAACTCCACAATGTCCTCTTTAATTAACATTCAAAATCTCTCCAAAACTCCAAAGGATTCGGCCGGAATAAACTCACAAATTTGACATACTAGATTTTCGCCTTTTTGGGATGACCACTTTGCGGGTTTATTCCGGCCGAACCTTTTGGAGTTTGGGGGAGATTTTGGATGTTAATTGAAGAAGACATTGTGGGCTTTCCAACGGTATCAAAATCCGGTTGTTTTGGTGGTCGAAAGTCGCTGAAAAATTGCCGTAAAAGTAGCCCAAAAATCTGAAAATCTGGGTAGATTTTCAGATTTTTTGGGCCGACTTTTGCGATGATTTTTCAGTCTAATTCCTTGGTGTTACGGAGAGATTTTGAGTGGTAATTGAAGAGGACGTTGTGGGCTTTCCAACGGTATCAAAATTCGATGGTATCGGTGGTTGGAAGTAGCCGAAAAATTGCCGCAAATATAATCAAAAAAACTAAAAAAGTGTTTTTCAATTTCAGTGACCGTTTCATAAACTTTTTAAACTTCAATGACCGTTTTTGAAAGCGTCTCAATACTTAAGTGACCGTTACTGAAAATTTTAAACTTCAGTGACCGTTTGTGAAATTAACCCATTTATAAAATTGAGCTTTTCAGGAAGATGGGGGAAAACAATTGACATGGCTACTTTTTCGCACGACTCTCTCTTAAGGTTTTAACTTCAATTTTCCATCACATTTTAGTCCTCAACCTTTGAAAATTTAACAAAGTCACCAACCGTGACGGTCTCCCGTCTAATTTCTATGTTATTTCAAGCATGGTAAGTCAACAAGTATCTCTATCACGCCCTATTCTGAGCCTCTTCCCCCTTCTCAGGGGCTTTTTCCTTTACCGGGATCCAGTTTTGTCCATGCTACTGACGCTAGTTAACAACTTTAAACTATGTTCTCTTTGTGTTTCAGTTTTGTATTTTGAGTTTTGTGTTTTGAGTGTTTGTTTTGAAATAGTTGAAAATACGTTATTTTTGTTATTTTGAAAAACAGTTTCTCAAAACAACAAAATGGAAAACATGTTTACTTTGAAATTTTCTAAACCACGACAATACCACCGCACCACTAAACAACACCACCGCCACCATCAACATTGTCGAAATCAACCAAAATCAACCCCACTGCCACCTCCATGAACCGTCAACCACTATTACCAGCACCACCAATCCAATGCCAACTGAAATCAACACAACCACTGCTTGTCATCGTCACCACCACCACCACACAGTACCACTGCGGTTGCCACCACCAAAATCAACACAACCACCACTGCACCAGTCACTACACCGCACCAACCAACACATCAAAAAATAAGAAAATCAAGAAAACCAAAAAAAATCCCCAAATCGGCAGATTACCTGCCTAGCTTGGTTCGGCCCCATTGGTTCAAAATTGGTCATGACCCATAGGTTCATTGGGTGCGCCATGATGAGGCGATGCTAGGACTGGTGGTCCGCGGCCGTGAGTCGTGTCGTCGGCATCGGCGTCGGCGTCGAAAATCGAGGTTGCAGTGTCCGAGTTCGCTGTTGAAAAAACACAGCTAGAGAGTTGGATTCAACGATGAATAGGTCACTACCATCAACCACGTCACGAGGAACTGCAGCTTCTCTGTCCAAACCATTTCCAGGCGAGAGAGTGAGGCAGAGACGGGAGTCTTCAAAATGGATGCATTTTCCACGTTTTGAAGTTTTCCAAGTTTTCAACAGAAAACGTCCAAAATGATAAAAACACCGTTTTCTGATTTCTGTAAAAAAAAATTTTTTGTTTTCAAAAACGCGTTTTCGCAATTTTGGAAAATCGAAAACAAAAAAGGGTCCGAAAACAGCAAAAAGAACGCACCCTTAATTTTTGTCATTTTTGTCTTATCAACGAGGACAGTAACTCAACCTCCCCTTTATTGCTCTATTTTACTATTACAATTACCATTGCAGTTGAAATTTCTTAGGCTCTATTTGGCATTATTTCAAAAAAAATACGTTCTTCAATAATAATTTGATATCATTTCAACCACAAATTCTTCAATAGAATAATATTATACGCAAATTCAAATATTTTCCTTATTTTTTACCCATACATTTCTCATCAATACACTATTCAAAAATATATTCTTATGAAAATAATATGGCTCAAACAAGGACTTAATATATTTAATCAAGGTCCCATCAAGCAGAAACAATTTGATTCCACCTCTTAACACACATTAGAGTAACACATTCAAGCACTACAATATTTTACACTCCGGAAAGATAAAAAGTGATATACATATGTCATTTCTCTCATCCGGTAGGACTCAGGCCGAGAGAATGCACAACTAAGAATGCCATTAGTACAACATCACATGATGTCGAAAGCTCCAAACTAATACCATTTGATTACTGGTAAAACTTAAGAAACAAGATTGAAGCCGTAAAACATCTTCAACAAGCATCAAAACATCTCCCAGGTCAATTCAACGAGTCTTCATTCGCTTTAACCTTGGGAAAGCTACTGTCAATGTAAAGTTCGATCACAAATGGAACAATTGATGATACAGAGGAACCAATTGTGCTGTTTACAGCAAAACCATCCATCATCTATGCCACACTAATAATGCTATGTCAGAAGCACATCTCTTACAGCATGCATGTCCCTTGCTTTCGTACAACTGCTACTCATTACCTTGATTGGCACTGGAGGACTTGGATGAACCTGCTCTTCATTGCACGCGAGAAATTTAGTTCCATGGTTATATGAAGTTGTCGATTCAGTTAAATTGTCCTCCTTACTTGCACCGTGTTTTCCATCAATCAAGGAAAAACCGAAGAGCATGCAGCCCTTTTTACACATGGAAACCAAATTTTGACTGCCTCTTGGATATGAAGATTCAATTTGGTTATACTCTTCTGATTGACCCGAAGATCCATTTCTTAGCACATCTTCCAGTGCAGAGCCACTCTGAAATGGTTCCCTAGCGTATCTTTCAAAGTCAACCGAATCCCTACTGCTCGTTTCACGCTTCTTCTGATGCAAATGCAAAGCTTGCAAGTTACATGGTGGAGAGTTGGGCTGCTGAAATAACAGCACAGAAGAAGGCGAAGACTCCTGTACCAACTGTGCAGAATGGCGCATTTGAGTATATCCCTGACCTTGAGCAGACCAATGACTTCCATAATTTGGCAACCGAACACTGCCACTATTTTCCTGGAATTGGTTGGCAGCTGGGCCTCTTCCATATGGCAGGCTTGAGGAAGTTTCTTGACCTTGCAAGACCTTACAGAATCGAGACGATTCAACAAAGCCTGTGCCCGCAGAGGGGGTCCCTGAGTCTTCCTGAAGATGCCTGATGTTGCTGGCTACTCCAGAAATCATTGAAGTTCTAAAACCAGGAAAGCACCTCATTTTTGATAGACATTGACTTTGAGATTGACCACCATGCGGAGTACTAAAACAAAAAATTTCTTGACCTTGCAAGACCTGGAACCTTGAAGGTTCCCCAAAATCCGAAGGTTCATTCCCATCTGCAGGATTTTATTGACTGCTTAAGATTCCTCATAGAAGAACATTCAACTAGTATAACACAAAAATGTAAAATAAATGGAAGAGACCTCTGGGAATTGGAAAATCAGGTTTTGTTGTTGGCAAGCTGCCCCTAGTTCTCTTTGTACCTGGTACCAAAAAGCTGCTGGGTCCAGATGCCGAACCAGATGGTTCAATCTCCCAAGGTGAAACCCTAGTATGCCTATTACCTTCCATATCATCCCACCTCACCTGCAAAGGTCAGCAAACAAAACATTAGAACTTTGGATGTCACAAAGAAATGGCTTCAGGCATGACAACAATTTCACCGTAGGACAACAAACAATAATACAGAAAGCAAAATGAGCATAAAATGCTCAAGTTATAAATGCATGGACTTCCTCTTCCAGATGAACGTAAGGAATTATAAATTTGTTCCCTTTCAATAAGCAACTAGAGATTTCTTAATTTGGATAAATAGAATCTACGTGTATAAGAAAATAAGAGTTGTTTGGCACATTTTAGAGCAGACAGCAAATTGACAAATAATTGAGAATTTATTAGGCTTCTATTTTGCTTTTATTATTTATGCAAGGGAGTCGGTACAACCTCATTTACTTTGTAAGCTGTTATTTTTTCTGCTCTTTTAATGGAGATAATCTCTCCATGATTACGCGTTTCTTTGCCGAATTTTCTCACTCCCCTCTTAACTATAACTCTGGATGTAATATTTATGTCCCTCTCCCATACCTAAAAATCCTGCCTAGGATTAGATGGTGTTTTACTTGAAAAAAAAAAAAAAAAAACAAACAAACAAACAAAAACCTACTATCTACAGCCTGATAATCTGATATGAAATCTGTGTAGCTGTGGTGGGGCAACAACCCTCTGCAGTTTGTTCCAAGAAATAGTTACATTCATGAATCTGTAATTGTTAGTTTATTGGAAATTTTTTGTACCCGGGGAAAACTATAAAGTGGTGACTGTTAAATTTTATATCAGCTAAAAAATTTACAACAAAGATTTTAAAACTTTTCCAAAGCAAGCATGCACGCAAAAACTGAAAGCTCCAACTTAAAGCAGGGAATAATACCTACACATTTACATCACTAGAAAGAATGAAAGCCATATTTGTGTTTATGCATATATAACTACCAATGTGATTTATGCTGATAGAAGAAGGGAACAAAACAAATAACATACCACTAAGCACCTCCATTTTGAACCTGGCCATCTAACAGGATCCAAGTCACTGACACCAATAACGAGTCCACTGCACCTGCTGAAACAATATTGATTAAATTGTGACGATGAATGCATATGAAATTCAGTAGCCACTACAAAACCAAGTAACCAACCTTCTCTCTGTTGCATCTTCAGCTTCGAAGTGCATTTTGAATCTCATTCCAGCAGAAAAGGAATGTGCAAGACTCTTTAAAAATTTATGGTAAGGTACAATGATCTCTGATGAACTGGCCCTGCAAAAATAGAAGTTAAGAGAATATGAAGTACAACCAGGGAAAAAGTAGAAAAGTAGTTGATTCACAATAACGAAAGAACAATGTGAAGTCATGCTGTCATAATGTGTTACATATAATAAAATATCATTCTGATACAAAGATAATTAATATTCTCGAGGATAAGTTGAAAAATGGCTAGCTGTTGCGAGTATCCAATTAGACCTAATCGGAAGTGCCTAACATCAAAATCATACAAAACACATGCTGTGAACCACATCACAAGTATAATTTTATGTAGTGCCTCCAAAACTATCTTGTGGACTCTTCTAGCACAATGTTGTAAGTAGTTTTCATGTAAGATGAATTAGAGGTCAACATAGTGCATGTGACCCACCCTCTTGGTCAAAATTATACAGCATTTTTGCAGTATCAATAAAAGGACGAACCCACGAACAATGACAACTAAGTGGAAATGTGAAGCCCATACACTAATATAGGAAGGACCATTTTTATGACAAATCACGTCAAACAAATCCATCAATATTCACAAATCAGTAATGAAATTGAACACAAAGGGCTTTAGGGAAAGTCTTTTGGCTGGTTAAAATACCTTGGATTGTAACAAATATTAAACACCCTTCGGGTAGATATAGCATGTGCTACAGAAGCCATGCTACTAGAAGTAAACTGTTGACAATATGGAGCTGGGAAAGCAGTGCCAATTTTAACTTGAGCAGCTCTTCGGATTCCTAGTCTGAGTTCTCCATCAGCAACCCTGTCACAGATGAAAAGATACAACAATCAAAGGAAGAAAAAAAATGAAAAACGGAAAAAGCAACTAAAAGCTTCAGCAAATAGTAAATTTCCGTACCTCAAAAAAAGCACAGCATCTCCAGACACAAGCTTCTTCTTATTTACAAATGCACTCCAACCAGTAGTAAGCAAATGCCTGCGAGGCTGCCCTGCTCAACGAAAGGAAAAAAAATGATAATGTACTAAATTAAGGAGTTGATCGCCAAAGTTCCTTCTGTATTCACTAAACCCATGCATTCCCACAACATTAACAGATGAATTTAAAGTTTTCACCTCTATAAATATGTCGAAATTTCCAAAGAGTCCCATGCAAGTCCTTAGCTACTAGCTCCTGTGAAGGCCTCTGTTGTTCATAGTCCTACAAAAGTAGAATTCATCCTTGTGACAAACCAAGTCTTCAACTTATCATACTCGATTATTCATTCTTCAAATAAATGTTCAGCAATTAAATTTTCATAGCAGGTTCAACAAAAGATAAAGAACAATGTGAAGAGAAATGTGATTCAAATTACCAGGGAAGGGAAGCAATCCTCTGCAGCCCGACGAGGAACAGAGAAACCACCATGACTGCTAGTATCAGAAGCAGTGAGAGTTTTACAGAACATATGGGGCGTTATAGACTTCTCAGCACCTACAGTGTCTTCTTCTTCCCCCTCTGCTTCAATTTCCCCTTCCTTCCATTTCTGCTCAATCTGCCAAAATGTAAGAGAATCTCGGTTTATGCAATTAAACCAGAAGCCCAAATATAACATGTTAAGCATTTTCCGTTTCGCTAGCCTTGAATAATGTATACTCTTGACTTTTTAATGAAGAACTACAATTTTTTTTTTTTTATTATTATTTTTTTTTTTGTAGCAAATGGAAGAAAATTTAATTAGCAAAAACGTAATGCACTCAGCTCGCGTTTCCATCGTCATCCTTATGCTATACCTCGGACTAGAAGAGCGAGAAAATCAACATCTCATATGGTCATTAAAAGAACGGAGTTGTTAAGATTACATGATTCCATACAAACATTGAAAGAAAAGACTAAGCGGAACTATTGCAGCTTTATTAAAATCCCAAATAAAGCAGAGACATCTCTTTTAGCAAGTATTAACCAAATATATTTTCATTTTAATAGGAAAAATACTTTTTAAATTTCAAAAGGAAAGAAAATTGCATATTTTAGACAAAGATGCCTCATTTATCTATGCTGTTAAAGCGCTCTCACTTTTATCCAAGAAACATACGACAATAGAGAATTTTGGTTGGGTCATATTTGCTATATTTAGCAGTTTCATATATAAGTAGAGAAAATCAAAGCGGAAAACAACTATATACAATTAATCCAGACTATAATGTAAATTTGAGCGTCATTAAACCATACCTCATTATCTGGAACCAAAGAAACTTGTGCATAAACCTCATCATTAGCCTCCTCCGCCTAGATATTATTCGAAATTAACAAGAAAATGGAAGTACTCGAAATCAGCAAAATCTGCTCAAGCTTTTACACGGAGGAGTTAATCCAGCATAATATAAGCTTACATGGAGTTTAACATCAACAACCCGGCAGAAAACGTGTGGAGGAAGATCAGAAGCTAAGGCAGTGTGATCGGAGATACGCTCCAAGTGCCCCTGAGGAAAGTATACGACTGCACTCCCTTTTCTGGGCAGCGAAATCAACGGACCTGCACACGCGTGCCACAGCTCCATACAGACAGCCGACGCAGGCAATTCCAAATTCCCGGACGAAGACGAAGGTGAATCGAACGACGACGTCTCGTCGTCGGTGTTCACAGTATTCAAATCGATTAATCCAAAAACCATATTCAAGCCCTAAGACCAAAATAAACAGTAAACCCAGCAATTTGAGAAAAAATTATCAGCTCTGTTTGATAAATTTATGGTCCATTATTATATATATAAATAGAGAGAGAGAGGTAGTCAGAAAAGACTGTCTGTCTATGAAAAAAGAGAGAGAAAGATAACCTTTTGTTTCTTAGCATTACGAGGCCCCTTTTCCTCTTACAACATCAAATCAAAGTTTACTCCTCGTTTCTTTAGTATTTATCACAATAAACATAGATTATTCAATACTTTTGCTAAATAATTGCACAATCCTAAAATTAGTGACAATATAAATACAAACACAAAAATACATAAGAGACCTGCAATTGACAGAACAGAAGCAGCAGCGGCTGCGACGAGCTGCGCTGCCACCACTGTGATTTATATGTGTATGGCAGACTACGCGTGTTCGCGCTTAATCAAGATTGTACACAAATAAACCGTACATGCTTAAGCACTGGATTGATATATGGTTCGTGAATACATACAGGCTATAGATACATGTATATTGTTGTATGTATAATTCTTAGGGTAGGGAGCGTGAGGGGAAGTGACGATAAAAGAAGGCTCTGTGTACGACTCCCTTTATTTTCGGGCGGGATGTCGATTCTGTCCCCTACTCATTCAACCAATCACCCTCGTGTCCTATGGTCTTCTTCTTTATTTTTATTTTTTTTGACTCATAATCTTATACTCCACAAAGAATAATTATTTAAGGAATTGATTATCATTATCGTTGTTTGTGGATTTTAAGGTAATGTTCCTTGGATTATTATGTTTTCAAAATAATTTTGCTTATTTTTTTTTCTTATTATCTGAGTCAACCTTGATAGATCGTCAATAAAATTAAATGGCCTAAACGGTCTATTACGGTTGAGACATAGCAACTGATATTCGATTCTATATTGGAGTCTATTTGAGAAGGGAAGATGAATTTCAACTAAATATCCGGCCACTGCTTATTATTTACACCATTTTAGGGTTTTATTTTAAGGAAAAGGTGGTAAGTTCTTTTAGGTATCTGAAAAGAACCTTACCTAAAGGTTTCAATGGCTTATTCCTTTTCTTTCACTCCTTAAATATTTTGTCTGCCCAATTTTTACTCGGCCAAATAATATGTGGGGTTGGGTACTTTAAATCTCGTGAGCAATAAAGGTAAGAAAAAAATCAAGTAGCTTACTACCACAAGTGATTCCATCCTTTTGTTGGGGCAATAAAAAGTGACTTTAGGCTCTTTTGTGCTACCAATTAAAGTTGGTTGCAATATTTATACACTCTTCCATTATCAAGCATCCATGTATTTTAAGAAAAAAGAATATGAGAACTACTTATTTTCGATATGCTTAAAAGTATTTTGGAGGATATAATTTGAAATTTACGTGTCATTAATGGTTAAATTATAAATACTCTCAATAAAGCATGCTCAACTTCAAATATATAGATAGCAATCCAAGTTAAAAAATGAAACATAACGTGACATAATTGTTAGGTTGATACTTATAAGGTGCTTTATAAGCATTATTTTTGAGAAGTTAGCATGCTCTTTAAGATTGATATATAGGTAGGGCTAGATAAAAATCTCGAGCTGAATCAATCGAACCAGACCCAAATTGAATCGAAAAATTCTTCTTAAATTAAATACCCGAATGAACGACCTCAGTTAATCTTGTCTTTCTTCAATAAGAATCAATACGATCTTCAAAAGGCTTCTCCTTCGAAAGAAATCAAATGGGATCCAGAAGGACCGTGTCCTGCTCTTTTTCCTATTCAAAGATCAGCCACCTGGCTCTGTGTTTTCACATTGAGAATTAGTTGTAGATGAAAAGATGTCAAAGGGACTTTTTACTTCTTAGCTAACATTGAACTTGGTAAAATGAAATTGTTGAATAATTGAAAAATGGGATTATTCAGGAATACACATTGATTGCTGAAATTACGCATTGAATTTCTGGAACAAGCATTAGCCCTCCCTGAAAAAGGTGGTGATCCAACCGCACCTTCCAGTACAGCTACCTCGTTACGTCTTCACTCCAATAGTTATAGAAAAATCATGATCGAGATAGTAGACCAAAAGCTATGGAACTTAGGAGGGGGGTTTTTGGAATAGCATTTTTTTTTATCTATTATTTATCTAAAATGATGGAATCATTACAAATCGAAAATCAACAGGTTTGGTTCAACTCTCAGTTCTAGATCCAGAACCGAATTTCTCTAATTAATTTGCTACCTAATTTATTTAGCCCAAATCCAAACTATGATTTTCCTATTTCTCATTTTCAACACAAGCTCAAGCATAACTTAATCAAATTGTTATAAATTTTATCCAAATTTTTTATTCTATCATAGTGTCGTTTCTGCCATTATGGACAAATCGAATTGGAAGCTCGTTTGTACCTCTCTTTATTATTGTGAGCTCGTATTCTTTCTCTATTTGTAATTTTAACAATCAAATCTATTGCAAAAGATATCATGTGATTGGATTACGTTATTTGTAAAAGCTAAAATTGAATACGTCATTAGCTGAATTAAATGTAGCGGTGTTGTAAATATTAAAAAAATTAATTATTGTACGAAACTCAAGAACCGAATGCAACTGAATCCGAACTGTTCCATAATTAAATTTGAACGCAATGATTCCACTTACTAAATACTTGAAAATTGGGATTACATTCAGTCATCTTTAGAACTGAATTGATCCGAACCACGTACAACCTTATATAGAGGTCACACCACTTTTATGATAAAATTTTTAACAATTATTGTTAATGAAGAGTGAAAATAGATAGATTGTACGATTATAATAAAATATTAGATATCAACTGACTTTTTTTTTATATAAATAAGAAAAATTACAATTAAAAAAATTAAGATTTAGTTTGCCAATTTTGTGGGATTCATTAGGCATAATTTATAAATTATTTACAAATAATTTATCAAGTGTACAAATAATATATAAGAATTTCGTACATGTTTTTTAAGTTTTCAATAAAAACTTAATTCTAAAAATTATAAATATCTCAAACTAAAAGCACTTTATTAATGTGCAGAGAAAACTCCGTTTGCCCCCGTTATTTTCCATTAAATTATAATTTATTGTTTTCTTTATTCTTATCAATCTTACATTTCCAATAAAATAATGTTACTCGTAAGCTCAAAATTTTTTCCCTATTTTTTAACTACACATTTTTTCAAAAACTACCATTCCTCTAATTACAATGTAGAATAATGGGGTCTATACGGGCATCATGGATTGGGTTTAGACTATGGTGGAATTTTTGTTGGATTTATTTTCTTTTTAAATTCTAGCAAGTAAGCATTTTGTTGTCTTTGACTACAAAATGGAAAACCAATTGTCAAACAAAATGAAGCTCCTAAGTCCCTTTAGAATGCCGATTGATTCCATGCCACAAATCTATTTAGATAAAAAAAAAAAAAATTTAAAATTTTTGGTTTTTTTTTTTTTTTTTTTTTTTTTTTTTTTATAGTTGATGAAATTTACAATTGAAATTGATGAAGGGTGATTATGTCAATTCATCGAAAACAAAAGCGCCACCAGTTGTAAGAAGAGGCAGGTCATTGTCAATTACATTGAATTGCAAATGCACCCAAACGAGGCCTATGGGCGTAGGCTTATGTATACTCTACAAATAGGCATGGTTACCCGGACAAAACGGGTTACCAGTCAAGACCCAATTGGCATTTACCCAACACATATGCTTTTTATCCTAACTTTCTTTTCACGCGCTTTCTCAAAACGTTTCAACCTCTTCCCATTTCTAGTGCAGTCTTTATGGTTTCATTAAGAAATCTAATTCCTTTAAACACAAAAAGAAATGCGCAATTTTTCTTAGGATCCGTTTGGTTGTAATAATGGAATTTGATTGGAAAAAAAATGAATTTTAAGGAATTTAATTGTCTAAAACTTGTTTTACTGAAAATTGTCAATTAAATGTGTTTGATTGATATAATTTTCCACCTATAAAATATTGAAAGTTCGGATTTTTTGGCGTTCATTTGACTTTATTTTTTAAGAAAATTGTCAATTTAAGGGATAAAATTTATTACAATTGGGGATAGAATTTGTATCAATTGCCAAAAAAAAAAAAATGGAAGATGAAAATTTCTTGCCATCAAACATGCATTTTTGAGTGGAAATGCTGTGAAAAATCGGCCTATCAAACAAGTCATTATATTTATTGAGGATAAAATTATTATTGTTCAATCCATTGGTCCCTAAAATTTCAAAATTAAAAATTCGAAACCGATCAATAATCAGTCAAACAAGCTTACATTTCTATAAAATCCGCTGATTTTACTCAGGCCTTGTTACTTTTTTTTTTCACTCTTGACTGGGTTTATAACAGATCGATCACATGATTCCACCCTACCCAATTAGGGGTCCGGTTGTCAGTTTTCCGGACCCGGACCAGCATATTTGGATCAAAATATTATGTCGGAAAATTTCTTAAAGAGGAAACTACAAAACAATGAATGTCCTTGCATACAGTCTACAGCTGGTGTCTTGTTCAATTTGAGTAAACGGATAGAAAGAATATTATTTGTTTAATCCAAACACATCCTTGAAAGAGAAATATAGAAAAATGGACAATGGGTTTTCGAATGCTGAAAAATCGTTTTTGTTTTTGTTTTTGTTTTTGTATTTTGTTTTGTTTTGTTTTTTATTTTTTTAGGGATTTCTATTTAGATGCCTTATTATTTCATTTTTATTTTTTGGATGTTGAATTGTTCAATTTTGGCTTTTCTCTCATGAAAGAGGGATTCCCGTTCAGAGCATCTGTTTATATTATTATGTTGCAGGAGAGTCGGTTTTGATGACTTACACCCCTTTTTGTCAACACTACTAGACTTTGAGGGCTTGGTCGGTGATCGTTAATAGCTAATTACTGGATCAGGTCTTCTTAGAATTAAATTAAAAGATAAAAAAAATGAAAAATACCTATGTCATTTTATGAAGAACATATAATAAGATAAATAACAATGTACTTTTAGTTGCATTTAAACGATTTCTGGCATTAACAAATTTTAGAGCACACTTTATTTTACATTAATTGGCTGCCTAGATGAAAATTGCTGATAGAGATCCATCAGTGAGGGCAAAAAACTATCAGATGGAAACATAGCTTCAACATTCGTTGGAAGAAAATGAAATGTAGTTTTTTCGCCTGGCTCGTTTCAGTGACCGTTTACCGTTTCGGTCACTGATATATATATATATATATATATATATATATATATATATTCACTCCTCAATTTTTTCATATAAATTATCTCTTCGTTCTCACTTTTCATTTTACAACTCTCTTTTATATCAATTATCGAGTTTTTTTCTCTCTAGTGCTGTTGTGCAAAATATACAATATCGATTCATTTTTTACAGTTTATTCAGTTACAATTTCAATTCATCCAATTAACAATTCTCGCTACATTTATATTTTTACTAGTTATTATATTTGGATTTCATCATAAACAATCAAACAAATGGATTAACGCTCATTTGTTGAGAGCTTCTTCGATACGGGATGTGGGTCACATGATGAATTGCCTAGAATGCCACAAAGTCAATT